AGAGCCTCAGTGGTACTCATGTTCTACTCACATTTAATTTTTCTTACTGCAGATTTGCAGTAAGGGTGCACAGCTCTGGATGGCCCCGTCTGTTGTCTGGTTAAATAAAAGTCACCAAAGTCATGGTCAAGAAACTCTGGAGAATGCAACTACAGAATACACTGGCAGCACTAAAAATGTCGTACTGTGAATAATTTCTGGGATAATAATATTCACGGGTCTTCACATTTTTATTTTAATTTTTATAAACAGCAAAAGAACAGATCAGCATCAAAGGTTAAAGCTCTGCGTTACATCTCCTTCCCCCTCATGATGCAGGAAGTGAGAGACAAAAGTTCCAGGGAAAATAACATTTGATTAGAACGTCCAGGGAAAGACCCAGGATTCAACTTAACAACCTCTTAACCTTTTCCACCAGCACAGCACCAGCTGCACTCATTTCCTCATTTCCACCAACCTCAGAAGCGGTGTTCAAACGTTGACACTGGCAAAACACCACAAAACTGATGGGTGCAAAGTTAGAATCACTGATGTTAAAGGATATGGGAGTGGTAACCACAGGAAATTAACTGATGACTGGCAGATGTAGCCCACAGATTTCGACCACCGTGATTTTCTTCCCACGGAAATTACCACAAATTCTTCTAGCAATAAAACATAACAAGGGGTTATCAAATCTGCCAAAAATGTTGGCTGGTTCTTAATAAAGAGGCAATTTCTGCCCCCATAGACTGCTGTTACAGGACAATTAGCAGGAGAAACAACAGTAGAAACTGAGCGCACTTTACAAACTGCTGATACAGTACACTGTCAGATGCTGTGACCTTCTGTGAATTATTGTCCAGGTTTCCATTGAGGACACAGGGTAATCTCATCCCACATCAGGGGTGAAAGGTCAGTTTTATGCTACCTAGATAGAAAACCACAGATACTAACTATGGCGTGCTAAATTTCAAGGGAGGAAAAAGCCCAACTTCAACCCCTAAGTGCTCTCACATAGACCTGAATCATAGAAATGGGGTAATTGAAACAAAAGGGCAGAGTTTGACAGAGATGTAGTGCCTTCACTGGGCCTCTGCACAGACTGCAGAAAATAAACCCAAACTCCTCCCCCTCTGTCAGGTTCATCCTCCATGTGTCCTTCCTTTACTCCTCAAGATAGCCATTTGCAAATGATAAGTGTAGGGACACAGCCTGTTGAAAGATAAGGCGCTTGGGAATTTGTCACCAAATGGAGCGTGCTCCTCCGCTGTTCAAAGCTGACCCTTGTTGACGTGCACTGTTTACCTTTTATTCATTCATTCTGAACTATTATCTCAGCCTTCATTAATCACGGTAACTCAAACTGAGAAAATGACTTTTGCGGGACTTGGACGGGAAAGGGATTAACTCATTTCATCCGTTTCTGCCGTGCAAACAAATGATTAAAAGTGAATAATAACGCAATACATTTGATCCGTTCGTTCTCGGAAACAAGCAATCCAGCTCGCTCCGTCATTTTGATATCATCCGATTCAAATTTTGCGAGCTAAATTCATCGCACGCGTGCGTACTCCTCAAGAGAGAATTCGTTTTAATTCCTTACCGTTCCTTTGGTGTAATTGCCTCCTCGCTTGATATGTTCTGCATCTGTACATCATGCTAATTTGCCGTGTATCAGCAGTTGAGAAAATAATTTTAAACAAAAATTTCCCTCCCACCACTGTTCAAGTCTCCCCCCTTTGTCTGTGTCATTTGTATTCATCTCCCACGACTGCAGGGAACGAAAACTCTTTCTGGTTGTAAATTATCGCTTCCCCGTAAAAGACCATATCCCTGCAAATACATGGCGATCATTTGCCATGCATTAGCTACGGGACAAAAACGAAGTGGTTTTAAATTCCTCTGACCAGAAGGCAATTTCCCCCAATAAATTATGTTAATTTCTGCTTTCGCTCTCCTTATCGCATTCTTTAGTGAGTCAATGAGGAGAAACAAAACTGGCTGTGAGAAAGACAACTCTGGGATGATTCACATTAGGATGATGAGAGACATCTGGCAAGAGAATCCCTTACAATACTGTACTAAGAAACGGGGACTCACAAATTGCTGTATTATGCAACAGACTTGTGGTTGTTGTCGTTTAATGGCCATCCCCTTGCATCAGCACAAGGTTTACACCCCGTGGAAATTGCTCTGAGGTGGCTGTTCGCACAACTAGGAAGGTGCTTGATACCAAATCCCATGCTCCCTCGCTGAACCAGACAACTATCGCTTGGCAACGTTCTCACTGGGCAGATGAAAAACAAACAAATAATTCTGATTCTTGCTGCATGCAGGAACTAACAGGACATTAATAACAGGCAACAGACCAAAGTTTGAATACAGGGTGAAACACAGAAGGAACGGGAATTGGACTAATCTGCAGGCATCCACCTTAGACACACACGCACACACACACACACACACACACAGCAGAAATGCATGTATGCAAATCCTTGTGGAAACACCCTCCCACATACACAAAAACAACACACACGCACCTTGCATACTGAAAACATCGAGTGTTGTGCACACACACGCACGCACATACACACAAAAGCTGGCAAATCCGAACGGTTCTTTGTTCCTGAGGCTGAAAGCGTACCTACCCCCTCTGTCCGGCCCATCAGATCACTCACAACACAGTGAAAGGGAAAGTGCTCAGCTAGCTCAAACTTAGATTGACAGGCCTACCTTTATTACTGAGTGAGTTATGTTTCCCTGCAAAAAAGACAAGCCGGCTTTGATACTGACGAATGCCTAGTCAGCTCTTTGCCTCGCTACAGAGGACAGCTCGACTGAAGTCGGCCGAGTCTGTCCCAGTCCTGATGTCGAAAGAATTGGCTTCCAAATTACCTTCCGATTCATTTCTGGATCTCACTTTAGCCTTAACAAAAAAAAAAAAAAGACAAAAAAAGTGGCCACTAAGCTGTGATAGGTGCCTGGAGGGCTGCCTGTACTGACCTGATGTAGTGACAAGACTGAAACATGGAGAGGAGCGGTCTGGAAGGAAATGTGATATAAAAGAAAGACAGAAGAACGGGGAAGTGAGAAGAAATTTCACAATTAACCCCACATCCATCTCCCTCTACACATAATATATTCTCTTCAGGGGTCATGAGAAAGCTGTGAGCCTTTTCCAGAAAGCAGTGAGTGACAGGCAGGGAAACACCCCGGTTAGAGCTCCAGTCCATCACCGAGCGAACAAAGAAACTGCAAACACCTTTGGGAATTCAGAGTCTTGAAAATCGACCTACAACCGCCGATTGTGGGAGGAAACCAGGGCACGCACAGGAAACCAAATGAACACGGCAGGAACACGCAACCTCCACACCGAAACTGTTTGCTGCGAGGCAATGGCGCTAAGCCGCTGAACCACCACGCCACCCATATAGAACCCAGGAACCCCATCAAAACACATCACTTCCAACATGAATCACAAACTGACTTGTAAATGCCAGCACACTGCTACTTACTTAGCTTGATATATGGAGGTCCCTCGAGCATGACTGTTTATTTAATCCTAATATATTCATAATTATACCCTAATTAATGCAAGGGAGGGGAAAAAAAAGCCCGCTGAATTCATCATCTCGGTGTCCTGAAGCACAAGACACAAATACAGCAACTTTAACATGCTTTGCCTTCCGTCCAAAGCAAGGTTAACAGTTTGGATACGAGCGCGAGGCAAATGGTGTGTGGAAACTCTTGGGTTTTGGATACTCACCAGCAGCTTCCAGCTGTGTGGCACAGTCAGGGTGATATTTAGCATCTGAGGGAATGTTTAAATAAAGTGCTTTAAACAGTCCAAGTGCTGAACTGTGAAATAATGTGTTATGAGCAACAATGAAATTGACTGCATTGGCTGAATAACTAATGTGGACGTTAGATGGCTGATTTGATTGTGCACCATGGTGAATATTAGGGGTCAGTGAACAGCACTCGGTTGAGTTGGATTTGTCCAAAAATGAAAGAGGCATTTGCACAGCTGGTTGTGATCATGAGAACATTTTTCCTTTAAAAAATACAATATTAAAAGAGTAAGAGTATCTTATAGCTCATTTTTCGAAAAAGGATTTTGCTGCTGTGAGAAACTTCCATCCTCGGTGCTTTAGTCCACCTCGCTTGTTGATGATTGTTTAGTACATTTGCATGCAATCGGGGAACGTCTGGCCAAGCTACATCATAAAATCTAACTCATCAGTGCGAGTAGGTCGTCTACCAACTCAGTAAAGCTGTCAGCATACTGCAAATGCAGCAGGAATGACTCCTGGCCGGAGAGAAATGTGGAGTTGAACGATGCTGTCTGCAGCCAGCCGGAGAGGCTGTGACTACACTACGGTGTGCTCGGTGCGCTCTGTCCTCCACACACACACACACACACACACACACACACACACACACAGCTCGGAGATTTAATAAGACATTCACGAGGGTGGCGTTACTGAAGGTTGTTTATGTGGCAGGAGGAAAGGAGCGCGACGTTACCGAGCACTAGCTTTTATTGTCCGCGGGCCCCGTGTCTGCCCCAATCATCTTTTTTATTATAGTTCTGATTTTCCCCTCTCTCAGGCAGGTGTTAGCCCCAAGTTACACGACAGCAGGAATAAAAACGCGTGCCATAAACTTCTCGTTGCTGCTTCGAATTTTAAAAAAGAAGAAGAAGAAGAAAGCTGGACGAGGTTATTTGGCATTTGTCTTTAAGTTTTAACCTTGGTAGTCACGTCTGAACCCCCCACCCCCCGGTAACCTTGAAGGTGTAGGCTAATTGACGAGTGCTGGTGCTAGCAAATTAGGGAATAATAACGACCGCCAACAACGTGCGCACCGGAATTTCGACGAAAACACCAGCAAACAACTTGTCACGTGCAAGCCTTCTAGGTTTTACAACACACAACACAAACTGTTTACCAGTAAAATAAATTAAATAAAACACAAATAATAAAAAGCAGAAACAGTTTAATTGCAGCCCAACTCACCACCAGTGCAGGTGAAGCCAGAGAGGACGAGCCAGAGCGCAAGGAGCGTGGCGCTGAGCCTACAGCGGACAAAGGGGCCCAGAAGTAAGGGCATCTTCGTGGGGTTTTTTTTTCTATCACCTAAGTTTTACAAAAAGGCAGAGAGCAGAGACGAAACACGGGCACACTGGGCTTTTTAAAGGTCCGGAGAGTGTCCTCTGTAGCACTTCACGCCTGTTCTGTTTTTTCCCCTCACGCCCAAGTCCTTTCCTCAGCACATATCCTCCTGCCGTAGCGTGGCCATCAGTATCCCGGTCGCGCGTCTTCGTTGCTCAGAACAACGCATCACAGGTGTGGTAAATAAACTGATGCCTCGCTCTCGCTACTGTAGTCTACTGTATTTCTCCAAAAGCAGCTATCCGTTCACAACTCTCCCTCCGTCTCGGAGCCGAGGAGGGGAGGGTGTTTCTTTGCTTTCTTTCTTCTCACTTTGCTGCCTTCGCGCGAAAGAATACCTTCTCCAAATGCGAAAAGGGAGAGAACTGGCATCGGAGAAAGAACATCTGCTTGCACAGCAATGCTGAAGTGCTTAGAGTCAGGGGAAGGTATAAGCTGCGATGGACGGAGGCGCAAAACCAGGAACGGATTTTGCCTGCACGCTGGGATCGGAGCGCCCTGAGCGCTCCCTACTGCTTTCTCTTAGACAAACATTTACATATCTTCTAATACGCAAAACTAACCACACGCTGGAAAAATGCGCATAAAAATGGAAATGATTTCATTCACATCCACGCAATATGTTTTTTTTTCTTCTTTTTTTTTCACATCTTCTGCCTTACATGAAAATGATGGATATGACATTCAGCTATGCAGGATAGGAATCACATGAGTGCTTTGCATACAGATTCACACAAATCACATCTGCATGTCGTTGAGGTTCAGTTAAATATGCCTCTGGTTTGTCCGTGTGCGTCTGCGTGTGCATCAGTGATGGACAAACATGGGCGAAGAAGCACGAGGATTAGCACTCCCGTGAGAGTGTACACCTGTCAGCAAACTCACACCAGGATGTGACTTATGTTCCAGATAGCTTTTCCTCATTTTCTGGGGGTGTCAGTGGAGTGATTATCAGACTCTTCAGCCGTGCCTTTTACAACGCTGCCAAAAATCGACAGCAGATTATTAATACACTTCAGAAGGGGAGGGGGTGGTGATGGAGGTGGTGGTGGGGAGTTTATCTTTGTTTATTCATTTCTCCACTCCTACATACTAGTCAGCAGCATGATAAGTGAAAGCACAGGACTTGGACCACTGTCTTACCAGCTAATTATGGGGCTCATGCAGATGGATGATTTCTTAGATAGAGCTCAGCTATTATGCAAACTCATTAAGACCTTCTCTCTATCCAGCATCTCTCGCTAAAGGTCAGAGTCACAGTCGGAATGGCAGAACAAAGCACAGACACATGCACGCACATGCTGAAATAAAGAAAGGCCCTATGGTTCACTATCCACTGCTGACAGGCAGCGTGAATGTGGCGGGCCAGGGAAGGCAGATGTACAGCAGCTGAATGGGAGGGGAATGACTCAGCTTTGGTCACTTGTGAGGTTGTTCGTAATGAACTTTCTCATTCTGCTAATCTGCTCTGAGTCCTATCAGACGCTGCAAGCTGGAGACTGCCTCTTCCAGTCACTGTATATAAATGCACAGTCGTTCATATTATTTTCTTAAAAAGAAGCAGGGCTTGCTACATGTGCTTAAACAAATTATTAGTGTGTTTTCTTGCCGTGGTGAGCAGCTTGTCGAGTCAAGGCAGGTCATAACCTCTTCCACAGTCTTCTGGATCCAGCGTCTCTCTCTTTTGCTCCCTCGATCAGACTACAATGAGCAATCACAGCTCTTTGGAGAGTTGACACATTCAGTTGTTCATCGATCTGTGGTGTTGTAATTAATTTTCTCTCCACCACTGGCTTGACTTAGAATATCCCCAGACTCAATGCAGCTTGTTCTCCTGCAGTCAATTGCAAAACCAAGACGGAGCCATCGTTTCTTTTGTATCACCTCGACTGCTTCAGAGCAGCTACGCGACCGCTTTTGATGGCTTGATAAGAAATAAGGAAACTTGGGCGTGACGTGCTGCTGTTTACAGATTAATAAACTGTTGGGCATCCTTCCCTAAAATTGCACAATTACACTCCCAGGATATGCACCCTATTAAGACGGAATCACCAAGTCAATAAATATTGATCCGAAGAAGGTGTCCAGTGTGAAATTAATATTATTTATTGTTTGCAAACAACGCAGGAAGTCCCGGGAGGAGGATGCAACGCAGGACCCAGTCTCCCTTTCAGCACCGACTTGTGGAGAGAGAGGGAGGGTGTATCAGCTTCCATCATGACCACAGCTTCACAGCCTGTTGTTTTGTTTATATCAAATTAAACTGCAATGCTACTCTAGAGAGACATAATTGACCACAGTCTCAGATTAAATGACTGTAAAGATCTTAATAAGCCATCAGTGGATTGCATATTACATTGCAAACCACTTATAAGGATGCAGTCCAATGAGAATTAAACTGGGGTTCATATTTGCATGCCACAGCACTTTAACCATTCATTACCATGCAAAAATGACTGTATGGTGATCAATAGTGTATCACTTTAATTAAATATTATTGATATGGGGTTAGGGAAATTAATTTGGAGCCAAATAAGACCTAGTAGTGTCAGAACAACATGTAATGCCTTCACATCATAACATCTCGAGTGTTTTTCTTTCTTCTTTTTTAAAATATTCACTATAATAAATAAATGACCAACTCCCCCGACCTTAATGAAATCACAGTGAATGCGGCTATACTTAGGGTTCACATTAAAGACGTTAAAGTGCAGGTTATCTACGAGTTCTCTAAAAGCCATCATCGCCGCTACATTAGAAACACGACTCCTTATTACTGTATCTACTGCAGCTCTCAATACACTAGTAAAAATGTTATGATCTGGATATGCTAGGCATAGCTGTGACTTTGTTTAATTAAATTATTTCACACAAGTGGAGATAAAATAGCCTCCGTGTGATCTCACCACATCTTGTGCAGTTGAGTGAGGAGCAAAACCAAATGAGAGCGAGAAATGGGGAGTTTAAAAAACAGAAGGGAAGAAAGTGAAGTGAAGGGAGAGCGGTGTGGGGGTGGGATGAAGGAGCCCACTGAAGGTCTCTCATTTCAGCAGCACAGACTGCTGATGAAGCTGAACTTCCAATATCCCACCACTTCAGCTCTGATGATTTCTCAATTTTACAGATATGGCCCGAGAATATGATTTGATGAAAATGTAAAATGGGATAACCACCAAATCATATGAAATGGGCCACATTTTATTCCATGACTATAAATCAAACGCAGACACTCCAAAAATTAAAGTTGATTTTGTGTTTTTGATTCAAAGTACACCTCTCCCGACTCGAAGGAATCGAGATATGTCCCTCAAATTAAGATTATCTGTCATGGAGATTCCCCGCACACTTTGTAAGTGGAAGGACTCGATTGTTAAGAGAAAGCCCGGCAATTTTGACCGTAGAGTTGTTCCAAAAGAGAATTTATTCATTGAATGTGTTTCCATCCCAAATAGATTCTGCCTAATCTAAAACACTGCACGAGCGTTTGGAAATATATGATGATTTCATTTTCTTTCAGTCTCAGGGTCATAAATAAATTTGCGTTCTGTCAGCAAAATGGGCTAACTGACTTGTAATTCATCAAACCCACTGCTCAGAGCTTAAACAGTTCAACACATGGTAACCTATTTTTGTGGGTTTCTTTTTTTCACAGAGTTGCCTCGCAGCTGTGTGCTCTCGTAGGTGAAAAAGAGGGAAAAAAGGCACACTTACATTTTAAAAACCTCATGCAAAATAAAATAAAGAAGAGAAATTAACACCGACAGTGACACATTTCAGGGGGCAGACTTTCATTCTGAAAGATGCATCTGCACAAGGAGCTGATTGCAAATGTTAACAAAGGCTACAGTATCTAATCACGTCCGAATGAACGCGATTTGCCCAACGACGCCCAAAAACAGGATGTGCGTTCATTCTTTCCACTTAAAATAGTTTATACCGATACAAAATTCTTTACGCTTGACAAAGTATGAGATTACAGCTTTACTGGAACGACTTCAGCAGACAATGGGTGACAGTAAAAAGTGTCAGACGGAACGTTTTTTCCCACAAGTTTTTTTTTTCCACCCATCTACATTTCATTATTCTCAAAAAAGCAAAGAAAAAAAAAAAGATTTCCTGAAGTGTGCTTCCTGGACCGACACTCTTGTTGTCACAATGTCTAAGCGTGCATGGGAGAGGAGACTTTGAATGATGTTGAATGTTTTATGACTCCCTGCTTTTGTGTCAGTCCTTTGGAAAGCTGCTCTGAGACTCTGATAGGAGAACCTTGCCTAACACAGCTGAGTGTGACAGCGTAGTGTGGGAATAACACACACACCAGCCACACTTCCTTTCAACGTGACTGGTCTCAAGACTAAGAAAATGTAACCTGAAAACATATTAGGGTAAAAAATGGTGGATCTAATTTAATTATTATTTTTTTGTTAGTGTAAATGTCAAAGAGTGGTGCTGTTAATAGTAACGGTAACCGTGGCAGCAAGTACAAAAAACCTTCACAATCTCATTTTAATAATACTGCTGTTTTAGAAGCTGTATTATTAAAAGCAAATGTACAATTCACTCCACAGCAAGCACTCACCGGACACTTTGTTAGGCACGCCTTGCAGTTGTTGGGTTGGCATCCGTTTTGCCTTCAGAGCTGCCTTAATTATTTGTGACACAGATTCAACTCAGAGATTTTGATCCATATTGACATGATGGCATCACACAGTTATTGCATATTTTCTGTGATGTTATCTTCCATTCTACAACATCCAAAAGGTGAGATCTGCAGACTGTAGAGGTCATTTCAGTACAGCTAACTCTAACTAACCCTCATGTTCAAGAAGCCAATTTGAGATGATTTTGTGACAAGCTGGGAGCAACCTTCAGAAGATGGTTGCAGTGTGGTCTTAAAATGATGGACACGGTCAGAAATAATATTCAGGTGGGTTGAGGTGTTTAATTAATGCTCAGTTGGCTCTAAGGGGCCAAGAAAATATCTCCCACACCATTACACCACCACAAGCTGCCTGAACTGCTGAGACAAGATAGGATGGGTCACTGTTTTCATGTTATTCATTTCCCCATTATTCTAATGTGTGATTTGGTGAGCCCACGTTAATGAGCATGATAAGAACGGCAACCGGTGTGGTCTTTTGCTGCTGTAGCCTATCTGCTTCAAGGTTTCACTTGTGCATTCAGAGATGCTCATCTGCATACCTTGGTTATAGCGAGTGCTTGAGTTTCCTATTAGCTCAACGCTGATATGTAATCATTCTCCTCTGACCTCTGGCGTCAACAAAGCATTTTTGCCTAGAGAACTGCTGTTCAGTGGATACTATTCTCTGTAAACTCTGGAGATGGATGTGCAGGAAAATCCCAGTAGATCAAAATGCACAACCCAGCAAGTCTTTCTTTCCC